TTAGTTCTTTTATATTATTAGTTTAGACCTATAAATGCCCGTATTTACTTATAGGCAGTTTTATATAGGGATTTCTTGTATATTATTTATAGAAGGCTTAAGTATTCTTCTACTATATAAGAACCTATCTAGAATACTTAATATAACTTATCCTAAGATCTTAGCTAATTTACTTTAGTACTTTATCTCTTGCAGGTACCTTATAGGTACCAGGTAGCCTTATAGGTCAGGTTAAGGGATTTAGGGATTCGTAACTATTTATAACTACCTATAAGTATCTATATTTATCTATAAATAACTTATAATTATTACTTCGAATATTTTAGGGCTTAAACGGACCGAGAATATTATACTATTAGATATTAAAAGTATATATCTCTTCCAGGTAACTCTTTATAGGATTTATAACTCTCTTCCTTTCTTTCTCTCTTTCTCTCTCTTCCTCTCTCTCCCCTTTCCTCCTTACTTCTCCCTATTCTCTAATACCGGTACTAAATAATCCGTTCCCTTCTCCTCCTCTAGTATCTCTGCCTCCTCTTTATAAAGAGCCGCTAGCTCTCTATAGAGCTCAGTAAAACGGTATACTCTCTGAGAAGAAGTAAGTAGGCAGTAGCGGCGGGCGGCGGTAATATAATAGGCTATTTACGTATTAGTTACGGTCCGTAGTAATCCGTAACAGGTATATATATACGAAGATAGGTTACTAGGAATGACCTGGTTACCTATATAACTACTAGTAATAACCCGGAGAAGCAAGGAAGGGTTAGCGGGAGCGGGGCCGGCAAAAACAGTAATAGTAGTAGTAGTAGTAATAGTAGCGGCAATAATAGTAGTAGCGGTAGTAGCAGTAGTAATAGTACCTGGAAGTATCCGTTAAATTAGTTACGGTCTATAAAATATTATATAAAAGTACTTATAGAAAGAGTAGCAGGTACCCTTACTACTATAATAATAGTTAGTATAGCTTCTACCAAAAAAACCAGCTATAACCATATATACCGTCTATATACCCGACCCGCTAATATAATATATATATCCGGTAGTATAAACTTGACTAATAAATTAGCTAAGCTTAGCCTCCAGGTTAGCAGGCCGGGCGGGGTTAGTAGTACGGCCGGGCCGCAAGACAGATATACGGCGGGCGGCAAGGAGAGAGAGGGAGGCCATAGTACGGGTAGGGCGGGGCGGGAGGGCAGGCAGGGCGGGAGGGGCGGGCAGCGGCGGCAGGCCAGTAGTAAAGCTTACTGCCATAGTAGTAGTAATAGTAATAGTAGCAGCGGCGGTAGCAGATAGTAGAGAAGACATTCTATAGACCATAAGGAGTATTACAGGCCAGGGGCAGGCCCGTAGCAGGTATAGGGATTGACTTACGTATATATATATATATATATATTTATTAAAAGAAAGAAGCTTTGGAATTCGAAATTAAAATCTACCTTATTTAGCTTACCTGGAGAATTTTTAGCCTTTAAAAAGTGAATTTTCAAAGTGAATTTAAAGTTAGTAAAGCTAATATCCCTTAAATAAGTACCTGAGGCATCCAATTAATCTCGAATCGAGATCAGGGCAAAATTAAAGACTGGCCCCGAAGCTTGTATAGGGCCGCCAGGCTTTAATTTTGCCCTGATCTCGTAAATATAATTAAAGTACTAGCTAGGCTAGTAAAATAATAGATTTTTTTTTTTTTTTAGGCTAGTATTAAGATATTTCTGAAAGACTTTAAGCTTCCTTTTTAATAAAGCATATATAAAACTATATAGTAATTAGAATTCTAGTTCTAGATCTATATAATATTCTATTATATAATAGTTAAATAATATACCTATAGCTTCTATAGAAAATATTTGAAAAAGATTCTAATATTTCTTAGGAAATATAATTATCTTATTAGTAATAATAATAGTAATTCTTTAGCTATTTATTATAAAATAAGTAATTAATAAAAAAATATATATCTTATATTTTATTATTTTAGTAAACTTTTTAGTATTTAGAACTTTAATTTTCTATAATTAAATCTAGTATTTTTATATTACTTTCCTAAAAGAAATTAGAAAATTAACCTAGTAAAACTATAGGAATTCAAGTATTATATTAATATAATTTAGATTAAAATTATATAATATAAAGTATATATTAGTTTCTTTTTAGTTTCCTAGTATATTCTTAGTAATAATTCTAAAAATATAATCTTTATATAAATAAATTCTTCTTTTTTTTAGTAAAAATAAAAGAGTTATCCTTAATATTAATAAAATACTTATATCTAAAGCTAATTTCCTCTTTATATAATTAGCCTCTATACTCGAGTTTATTAATATTCTAATTTTTTGGCTACTTTTCCTTATTTTAATAATAACCTTAATTACTATTCTTATTTTAGAGACCTTACTTTCTATAATATAAATAAGTATAACTATTATAAGATATACTTATTTCCCGGCTTCTTTAGTTCTAGATACTTATATAACTTATAGCCAGACTTATTATAGTTATAATAAATTGGTTTCCCTTAATTAGGGCAAGTAGTAATATAGTAATTCTTTTTTTAGTAAGTAAAGCAAATTATATCTAGTCTTATAAATCCTAATATAGGTACTATATTAGACCCTATTACTATATCTTTATTATTCTGGTTTTATAAATCTCGTAATAGAAATATACTTCTTTTCTATTTCTTTTTATTATCTCTTTTCTCTTTTTTCTTATTTTTTTTTCTTTATAGTTCTATTAGCTTATTATTATATTTCTATTAAATAAATAGATTTAAATTATTCTTAACTCTTATAATAATAGAAATAAGCTTTTCTTTCTCTTATAAAGTATTTCCTTAATAATTAATCTTATTCCGGATCTCTTATTTTAAGCTATTAAATAAGTTATCCTACTCTTATAATAAATCCATATATCCTAAGTTATTTAATAGGCTATTTAAGTAAGATATAAAGCTTTAAATACTTTAGCCTAGCTATTATTTAATATTCTTAAACTTAGTAAAGGCATTATTATTATAGTTTTCCGGATCCAAAATAGAATTCTTTATAAACTTAATAAAGATTTCCTAATCTATAGTATTAATATCTACTAATTACTTCTTATATTTCTAGATATTCCTAGCTATATTCTTAAAATAGGAAATATAATATATAACTTTTATTATATTAGTAGCCTAGGTAATTCCGCTATCTTTATATTACTTTAACTTTGCCTAATAGAAAAAGTCCTAGGCTTCTTTAATATTCTTTCCCTAGTAAGTAGGTAGTTCTCGGGTTTTTGGAGCCCTCTAAACCAAGGATACTACCGGGAGTATAACGGGTTCTATACCGGATATCCGAACATCTTTAAAATAATAGATCTGAGCTTCTAGCTTCTTTAGATCTTCTCTCTATTATATCTCTATTTCTAACTTAGTAATATAATAGTAAGCCGCCGCTAATTTCTCTATTATTATTATCCTACTAGCTAGTTCTAGAGGCATCTGAGTCCCACTTTCTTCTCCTAATTAGGTAATACAAAGAGTACTTGACTAGGCGCTTCCCTGGGTACCCGGTTGAATTATCCTAGTAATAGTAGAGGCGCTTCTCCTAGTTAATACTCTAGCCATTAATATTTTATCTATTAATAGCTTGACTATCTCGTAATAAACTACTTTCCGAAGATTGGATTAATTAGAATATAAGGTACTTAATAGCAGGGTAATATACAGGTAATTAAGGCAAGTAAGCTATAAAGTAACGCTTGCAAGTATAACTAATTCCAAGAATTAATTCTAATAAAAGACTAATTAATACCCCTTTCCAAAGCTAGGAGCGTCTCCCTATATATTCCCTAGTGCTTAGCTAAGCCTGCGAAGCACTTTACTTAACTAGGAAATATGATCCCATGCAATCCATATGATTCCGATCGCCCGTATAATTCCGATCGCAAGCTTTACCCAAAATAGGGAACTAGATCTACGATATCTAATACCTGTCCATGCGCTATCACGTGTGCCCATTATATTTAGCCACGTTTTTCTAAAAAGTTAATTAATATTAAAACTATTAAAATTAAGATTATTAACTCATAAATAGCCTTGTACTAAGCACCTAATAGTATACGTACGAGTATCTTCCGGGTTCTCTTGAATTAGATTTAAAGTCTTTTTTAAATATCCTTTTTTAAAGAGAAAAGGTTCTTTATTAAGGGATTTTAATATAAAATCAGGGTAATTTTGGCTTATATTAAGCTTAATCGAGGATTACTGAGATATTTTCGAGTATATAAAGTATATATAAAGGTATTTGTAATATAAAGTATTATTATAAAAGTAATAGTTAAAGATATATAAGTAATTATAAAAATAAAAGAAGCGAGAACTCGAGGAAAATAACTTATTCTTATAGAAAATTCTAATATTCTAAAGGCTTCTTAATTATTCTTCTAATTAGAAAGAATTACTATATTTCGAAGGTTCTAGTTCTTTAATTTGTAATATATAGCTCTTATATTAGTAATATAATATAATATATAAGCCATAGTAGTTCTGGAGGTATCGTGGAGATTCTACCTCGCTTACCAAGCCTCGCCACTACTTGATTTGGCAGTGCAATGGCGCTAGGCTCGGGCCACCCCGGAGCCTTACCCAATTAGGTTAGCATGTCACGTGTGAAGTCACGTGTAGCATTACGTGCACACTACTCAACTACTCAAGAATATTCTAGAGTAGTTGAGTAGAGTAGTTGAGTAGAGTAGTTGAGTAGAGTATGAGTAGTGAGAAAAAAACTTGAGTAGAATATGAGTAGGGCCCACTACTCTACTCTACTCTACTCATTTCTCACACTGAGAATAGGGGCCTTTCTTTTATATAGGAGGGATATACCATATAATAAGCTCGCTAAGAATCACAGGAACTGGGCCAACTATAACTTGACAGTCAAGGCGGCAAAATTGAACGAATAAGTGCTCGAGGGAGCAAAAGACCAAGAAACCTTCTAAAATCACAAAGCTAAGACAACAACCTAAGCAGCAACCAGCTGTATACTCCTCTTCAACGCCCGAATGTCTTCATCAACACGGCTCCTGCGAAGGTCCAATGCACTCTTTTCCTTTTCTAGCTCCTTCAACTTGAATTCGAGTCCCCTTCTATTCTCAACTGCAGCCATTTTGCCCGCCCCACAATCGAGTTGTGTGCCCAACCCCTCATCTACCGTCTGTTCAGGGCTTTCAGAGGCTCCTCCATCCTCCATTATTCCACCAGACGTAGCGAACGAGAAATCATGGTGTCGAGTGGTCACATGTAGATTTCTGTTGCTCTTCCTTGGAAAGCCTTTCCTAGCTCTCGGACACGACTCCACTGGGCAGAGGTACCTTTTGGCACTGTGTTTGCCATGTTTCTCTGTTTCGTGACGGTGAAGGCTGGCTTTATCGCCGAAAGCATTTCCCTTGCAACCGAGCTCTTCGCAAATATACGGCTTAATATGCCTGTCCCAATGCTTCCTGAGTATTGTGAGAAAGTGTTTCACATATTTTTGAGTCATTTCCTTACTTCAGATCAGACTTTCGCGTAAAGGCCTTGCTTGAACATCCTGTCCAGTTGCACTTGAAGGGCGGTAAGTCCGTATTGAAGTCCGCACTCTCCAAATTTGGTCCAGAAAGCGAGAGCTTTTCGTTGCTCTGCGATTGCTCGCTCTGCTTCCTTTTCGGTGATGCCAAAACATCAGGTTGGCGGTCCTCAACTCCCTGATCCATGATTGCTGTCGGTCTTAGCATGGGGCCAGTCTCCTACAAGGATCTTCATTCTCACCAAAATCCGGATTTTCAAACTGGAGTAACGAAGAACCGTAATCTGGTATCTGCAGCGGATCTAATGTCCGTTAGATTCCAAGTTCGGAATATTTGCTGGTCTTTGGGAATCCTGCTTGAATGGAGACTGCGCGGTGCTTACCTTGCAAGAGATCAAAGCCCAATGCACGATTGCTACAATTCAAAGTCGATTTCCTTCTTATCACTTCTGCAAATAAGCCGATGAAAAGTAATCTCCAGATTCCGGTGTTAAAGTAAGGTTGCATTCAGGATCCTGCCTCAAGTCAGTCCATGCAACTCTGCCACGAGGTGGGGAGTCGACTTGCCTCTGATTCTATTTGTTATCTTTTCTGTTTTAATCGAAGTGTGTTTTCCCGTCAGGACAAGACAGTTGAACGGTTCCTGGGAACGAATGTAGCTCCTCCTAGAATGGCAATTGGGTATTCCATAAAGCGGATCCACCGGGTCGTCACAAAGATATCACGGCCACGGGAACCAATGCATTTTACTCGGAAGTTGGAAGAGTTGAAATCCTGAGGAATCGCCTGACAAAAAAATAGGCAAATGTATCTCATTCTTACCAAATTGTCTCTAGGAATTCCAGTACAAAGAAAAGTAGAATTTCGAAGTGTTCCCGGCGACGTTCGATGTTGAGCAAAAATTGCTTTATTTCTCACCCCTCCTCGAATCTAACGCCGATAAATGGGGGGAAGAGAGTCTACTGGATAGTTTAGTTAGATTCGGAACGTAAAATCAAATTTTTCCGGCTTGAGGTCCCTGTGGAAGCAAACAAAGTTTCCGGTCTTCTGATGTAAGAAACGGGTACCCTTACATTTCATATTCACCTAGGGAAGCTGTTAGACTTATCCCAAGAAACGATGAACGAGACAATGTATAGACACAAAATAACCACAACTCCAAACATCAAAGCCACTCGTAAGGCTTGACAATAGGGAAGCACTCACTCATGTTAAGACCCTCCCCTAGGGGCTCGTATCCCGGACCCGTCGAGCCATCAAACCTGTAGTTGTCGTCTGGATGCCAATTGTGCGGATCCATAATTCCCAGGGATTTGTCTGATAGGTCCTAGAATATCCGGTGAGCAGTCCACCCGAGTATATGGAGAATGATCTGCTCAGACATGTATATTGGCTGATGAATTGACGGAATGGAAAGTCAGCTCACCTTGACAAAAGATGTTGCCGCCGTGGCATGTGCTGCTGCTGAATGCAATACAAAGTAGAATCAAAACCAAAAGATCACAGCGACAGACGCATTGATATACCACAAAGCTGGGGGACGATTGTGAGCCCAAAAGCTGCCTGAAAATTTTCCCGTTTCTGCCCAATATTTTTTGGGCTGACAGAATGGGAAGCGAGCCTACCACACTCTACCAAACCACAGCCTTCTTAAGCCAAAGGATGCAAGTTGGCAAATAAGGCGGATTTGGGCGTGTGGGCAATCTACCCAGGCTGCTCAATCAAATGTGCAAGGAGGAATGCCTAGTTAACTCTGTTGGCGGTCTAGTTTTTATATTGGACTGAAGAGACGCAACTAGTGAGAAACTCCGACCTCTACATGACCTGAGACTGAGTCCTCGTAGCCTGAGATTTTGTTCGTAGAATCAATTTTGCTGCACCATCTGATACCCCCGTTCGTCAATACGAACGGTTGATCAATCGGGACCCCGGTTACCCAATCAGGTAATATTGAGGTCTCGGGGATAGCAAAATCGGTATATATTAAGATATTTCACCCAAATTAAGCTTTATTATACATGCCTCCCACTATGTCTAGGTACTTCCATAGCCACCTTAGCCATTTTTTGTGCCCTCACGCCCACTTGATTACCTGATTCTCCTTCTCTAGCTCCATCCTCACGTGCGTGCTTAATAACTACTCTCTTCTTTGCTTTCTCAAGTGCCTTACTAGCCTTCTGAACTAACGTAATTAAACCACGAATATTCTCCTTTGCTACTGCTTTAGGGAAAGTAATCTTGTCTTTCTTGTAAGCTATACTAGTAATAAGCAAATTAAAATAAGTTGCTTATAAAGCAACTTTATTAAAAGTATTATATAACTAGAGAATTATAAGTTAATTATACTTAGTAATTAACAAGTAGCTCTATTTTTAATTAGCTTTAGTTAAGAGTAAATTCTGATAAGTCACATATCTTTAAAGTTTTTTTTTTCTAAAACTTTTATTAGTATTCTAGTTATTTTTATACTAAATTAATATTATTTAAAGATTTATAAAATTATATATAATCTCTTAAATATAATATTTAAGAGCTATAGTACTTGCTCTCTTTACTATATTCTCTTACTATTTCTTTATATACTTTATAACCCTCTTTATTAATTTAAATAAAATTATTTCCTTTATTACTTTCTCTTATTTTGCTTTCTTATTAATAAATAAGCTATTTTCTTTATTCTCTTTTTCTTTGTAAACCTTAATAGTAAACAATTCTTTAAAAGCACTACTCTTATTATATTAATTCCCTCTTGAATTCCCTTGCCCCTTGTCCTTCTTTCCCTCTTTTCAAGCCATTATCTCTTGTCTTTTATAAAGTTAATAGTAAACAAACCCCCTTTGTTTTGCAGCATAGCTCCATTCACCCCAAACCTCTTGCCCGACATTATCCGTCTATCCCTACCCCGCCTTCGGCTGGATACGGATGTTGACGCATACTGTCGGATTGACTACCAGTATCAATATCGGCCGGAATAAGAATTATTCCTTGAACTAAAATAGTGGTATAATGGAACTTGAGCTTTCAATTTCAATCTCGAGGGTAGCGCGTCCTTTGTCTCCTTCCAACATCGACGGCTTCGACCATGGCTCTCCGCAATAGCGGGATGCATGGTGCAGTGGTGCAGAGAGGAGGTTGGCGATGATGTTGATGATGGTTATAGAGGAATCCGGAAGTGTGGAATGCAGACAGGAGGATAAGGAGGTGATGGATGGGGAGTGCCCGTCGTGGTACTCAGGGGAGGAGGGACACGGTGATGCGCAGCTTGAGGTCCATGGACATCTTGATATTGCTCTCACGTGAAGAAGCACCCAGCATAGAAGCAAGAGCATTCCGAGTGGAATGCGGGACGAGGGGAAGACGTCGCCAGTGCGCGTCCTAGTCTGATCCTGCAGGGTACCAAGGTGGCGCTCTACTTGAGGCTCTTGTCTCGACCGATGAACAGGAGTTCATCACAGAGGCCGAAAAGAGTTAAGATGCTTACTTATGTGATGAAGCTTCATTTCAGACTGTATTCCTCCATTTCTATTTCATTTCCTTTCCGTCCCGCTCTTTCAAACACTCGAGAAACCTCTCTCCAGAATTTGGGGAAAGTCCAGCTTCTCATCTTGATCGCTGAAGAGGGTACATTGTATCCGACAGAGTTCAAGTCTCGGCACTCCAAACTGTGGTTCGCCTTCGGAGACTAAGCTATTTTTCGTCTGATGACTTCCGACCGAGGGAAGGGCTGCCGAGGGGGACCGAGATGAATGATAGATTCGAGCAGAGGAGAGCGGTGTGTTGAGCGCCCTCGAGCCTAGAGCTAAGGACCCAGAAGACAGACGGCAGAGAAGGATTTTGGTCTTTCCATGGATCCGGCCCCGAAGCCAGGTACCAAGCCGGTACGTATTCCCGACAGAGCCGACGACTTTCCCGGGTATGCCTCAGCCCGAAGGGAAGCTTCCGGTTGACTAAATCGTCCTAGGAAAAGTTCACTTTTGCTTTCTCGGACGAAAGCATGTCAAAATCGTCGCAAACGACGTTGCCCATTTTATACATTCAATCACAAACACGCCCAATCTGAAATTCGAAGTGGACTTATCAACATTCACGTGACTATGTCACCGTGAAACAGAGCCACGCCTTGCAAAGAGGGTTTGCGTGGACTTCCCCGCTTATTTGGGTGGTTTTGTTGTAGCAAGGAAAACAGAAGCTTAACAGTGGGAAGCAAAAATGCCTCAAAAGGGAACGCAGCAGAGAGGCTGAGAGGGACTTCCCTTTTCTTTTCCCATTAGACATCCACATCCACATCCACCTTCCTTGCCCCTTTTTCTGCAGCGCCCAAACCCAATGGATACTCGGCTGGCGCTCCAATGAGGGCACGCCGTCTGGATGTTGTTTCATGACTAAATCCGTTCCTGGATCGCCAACTAAGGCGAGCGACACGCCAGGCCCCGTTGCAGGCGAGGCCAGTCAGCTGGTCTGTTGTGAACCCGAGTGCCGCCCGCCAGCAAGGCAAGCCCCCAAGCCCGGCGCCGTGCAGACAGACACCAAATAGAAGCAGGAGAAACATCCGGATTTCGTGCCTCGTCTGCACCCTCAGCACCCCTCCATTGCTGCCACCATCGCGTCGCCATCACCATATCATCCAGATTGCATAGATTGCTCCAGCTCCAGCTCCAGCTCCAGCACTCCCGCGCAACGCCCCCTCCCGCGCACCGCGCACCCCTTTTCTCACCCGCGGCCAAGCAATGGCATAGTGCGTGTGACTACTGGTAGCTGGCCCCCAAAGCATTGGCACTTTATTCGGCATCGCCTTGGCTGCTGGTCCCAGACGTTGGATCTCGCCCGCTGCTGCTGCCCTCGCTCGCGCAGACCTCACTGTCGCTGTGCTGCTCACCTTACCCTCACCGCTCCACGCGGTCCGGGTCCAGGTCGCCGTCTACCCTTACCATTGTCTCGTTGTCCGCCAGCCGTCGCTCCACGCTCTTTATACGCGTCTCTGGGAACGGGGAATTCGATCTCAGGTACAGGTGCGGTCCATACGGCTGCTCATGCGCAAGCGGTGTTACCCCCCTGCTCGCTCTCTTTGACTCGACAATCAATTCTGCATAACACATTCCACACAACCTGCGGACGCGAGGTCCTCTCCCACGTTTCATCACTCCTCGCACCGTCAGGAATGGTCGCCGCAGCTGCGTGGAACTCACACCTGCTGTGAACAAGCATCTACGGCCAGTGTACCAGGGCACCAGGGCACCAGGGCACCAGGGCACGCTTCTTCCGACCATCTGAACAGGCCAGAAGCACCCATCGAAATAGTCAATCGACTTGTGCACTATCGCCGAAGCCGTCACCCTGCGACTCGTCCGACTTGACCCCCACGGCATTGCACCGCAACTCAACCTTCTGGGAAAACCCTCGCACGTACACAACTACCGTCCGAGCCTGCGCACCTCTCCCTCGAGATTGTGACACAGCTCAGGTACCTGAAGGCTGTGCACACGAGGCATTTAGCAATCCTGCGACCTGCGCCGCTGCGAGTCGAGAAAACCCCCTAGCTGCAAACAGGGGCATCATGACACGAAAATCCATACCACAGCCGCTGACGCTGGGGGTCTCTTCCGCGGTGGGCGAGGAGCAACGCGAGCACGAGCACGACTTCATCGACTCTCCTCGGTCTCCTTTGAGTCTAAAGTCTCCGAAATCGCCGAGATCCCCTTTCCGGTTCAACAGCTCAAAGAAATCGCAAAGCGAGCTCCCGTCAATGCAAGCAGCCGAGCCATACCAACCCCAGGGCAACCTTCCGCCTGCTCAATCCTTATCATCTCTACAACAATACACAGCGGCTGCGGGTGGACAAGAGAATCAGGAGCGGGAGCGTCCGGCAAAGACTGGCTTCTTCTCTAACTACAAGGCTGCGAAGAGTTCAAGCCGATTGCAAAATTCGGATTCTGCTCGACCGGTCACCGAGGACAGCATGTCCAGAGACGCGGACCGCCCGACCATGGCCGGGAAAGTTTCGTCGAAGGAAACTAAGAGAGCTGGTACGACTCATGCTGTTTCGTCCCTCATCTTCAGACGTCGTTTACTAACCTTGCCCTCCGTGTGAATAGATTCTACTGATCGATCGACAACCCGACGACCTGTTGGTGGACCCTCAAAATCAGACGTTTCCCTTGATTCCCAAACCGAACCCCCACCATCCTCCTCCGGCACGAACGTCATCAGGAAGGGCAAGCCGAAGGCATTCAACCTGCTGTCCAGGACCAAGTCTATCCGAGATGAACAAAGTCCACGCGCATTGTCCCCGAATAATAGGTTGATGGAACCGGAGAAGACGCATGCACACAGTGAATCCCTCAGAACTGCACCGCTTCCTATATCGGAAGGCGATCGATCGTTTAGGTCCATGATGAGTTCCAACGTACGCCAACGATCTGAGGATAGGCAACCTACGCAGCCACGGGATATTCAACGAAAGGAGAACGGCAGACAAAAGGATACGAGAGAGAATGGTAAATCACAAACCATGAAGGACCAGAAGGAGAACCGCCCGCCGAACTCATTCTCGTCGTCGTTGCGTGAGGGGAGTGGCCACGGTTTCTTGAATAATCTCAAGAGTTCTGCAACCAAGGGGGCTGGAGCACTGAGTAAGGGGTTGTTTGGAAAGGGGAGAAGCGGAAGCACCAATGAGAAGGAGTCTTTCCTTGACGATATGCATTATGAGTTGAAGGTCCTCAACCGTCCACTTGTTGAACAGACCAGACTTACCAGGATATCGAAGAGGTTGGAGGATTCCCGGGATAAGACTGAGTTCTGGATGCCAGCATTCCCATGGAGAGCTATCGACTATCTCAACTATAAGGGTAGTGATGTCGAGGGGTTGTACAGAGTTCCAGGTAGTACCCAGGAAGTCAAGAGATGGCAGAGACGATTTGATGAAGGTAAGGGAAGCCCTTGTGAGAGGTACGTTCTTTTACTAATGCTAAACAGAGGGTGACATCGATCTATTTGAGCAAGATGACCTCTACGATATTAACATCATCGGCTCCATGCTCAAGGCTTGGCTCCGTGAACTTCCCGACGAACTGCTCCCCAAGGCCGCACAAGACCGCATCTCCCGAGCACACGCTGGCTCCGAGGAAGTCCCCCAATTGCTCGTCGATGAGCTCTCAAACCTCTCACCATTCAACTACTACCTTCTCTTCGCTATTACTTGCCACCTCTCGCTTCTCCTAGCCCACGCCGACAAGAACAAGATGAACTTCAACAATCTTTGCATTTGCTTCCAACCATGTATGAAGATCGACATGTTCTGTTTCAAGTGGCTTGTCGAAAACTGGAGAGACTGTTGGAAGGGTTGTAAGACTGAGCAACACTACATTGAGCAAGAGTATATGCTGTTCGACATGGTTACCCCTGGATCGGCTGAAGGTCGCCGTAGCAGCACCGCAATCGAGGTCAGCTCTCACGATGAACGCACCGTCTCCAGCTCAGATAGCAGCAAGCCAAGCAGTGTCAGCATCGACCACAGTCAGAAGCCTGGAGGAAGCCAGAACAAGAAGTTACCGTTCACCAAGAGCCAAACGAGCATGGACACAGTCAGCACGCAATTAACGGTTGTGCAAGAACGAACTCCGCCTCGGCGAAGTGGTGATATGAGACCTTTGAGTCCTATCAAACCACTTAGCCCGATTGGTCTTTGAACGGTGGAGGGACCAGATATTACGAACCTAAAACTACACCAAACCTTGCCATTGCGGAATCGATTCGATATTATACGAATGATATTTGCGACGAGCATGGATGAGATATGAGCATGAAGGACAGGGAGGCAAAATTGTAGGCATTGCACCACAACCATACTATTTTCACGGCCGCATCACTCATCCATCGATCAATCGAAATGATTTCATGGCATCTCTCGCAGGAAGGACTTAAGCACTCTCGTCACATACTTTGCTTGTCTGTTCGGCGGATTTCCTCTTTTCTTTTCCCTTGCTTTCTGCGTTTTACGTTTTTATTTTGTTGTCTGTTGTGAGAGGGCAGCAGATCATGTTTTGTGTTGAATACTGAATACCCCAGCGTTGCACATGGCGGCGGCCATCGTATTTTCGTTTCTTTCTTTTTCTTGCGTTGTCCGGGCTTTTCGATGAGATTACGAGCCACCTGACCTTGGACGAACTCTGAATCTGCATTTCCAGCGAGGATGAATGGGCTGTGCGTAATACTTGGTTCTTGCTGAGATCGATGGTGGATGAGGGGTTGGACTATGACCTGTTCTCTGTCCTTGGATTCTCTTCAGAATTTGGGATTGAGATGTGCATTGGAGGACGATTGTTTGTTACTTGAGAGGGAGAGAAAATTGGCGGTGGAGGCATATGAGTGAGGGTTTTGTACGATTACGATATGAGTGGACTTTGTGATTTGAGGGGTGGATGAAATGAAGAGAGAAAAGAAGAGAGAGTACATTATTGAGCGAAGGGATGAAAAACCAAAACGAGGCCTATACTCGCGTTTGGATCCTCTACCTTGATATCGAGGCATTGAGAATTGAACATATGAATCACAAAACATCCGAAAACCCCATTCATTGAATGTGATCAGTTTATGGATGAATGCCATTTGGATCTGGATCTGGTTGCCCGAAGAAAGTCATTCAATCAAATCCTCAAGCAGCAAATCATAACAGCGTCCTGATATCAAGCGCTTTTTCACCCCCTTCAACGCCGAGAATCAAACAATCCCTCCAACGCCATGCAATGCCATCCATATTCACACCACCTCCCACTTCACTTCCCCCCCCCCCCCCCCCCAAAAAACTTCCTTTCCTCACCTCTGCCCATTCTTCCGACCCTTCCGCTCATTAGCCCTCATCGCCCTCTCATTCCTCCTAACCTTCTCCTTCCGCTCCCTCCGCCCATCACCCTGCCGCTCAGTCCCCTCCTTCCTCTCCGCCTCCTTCTTGGGATCAACCTCGACAATCCAATCATCCTCGCCGGCTTTGTTCGCGCCCTTGTATCCCCATTTCGGCACCCACTCCCCGCTCGCCTCATCGTAAACCATCTTCTTCCGCTCCTCCTTCGTCTTACTCTTGATGCCCTTCTTGGCCGCGAATTTTTGCCAGGTTGTTTGGGCTTTCGGGGGCGGTAGTGGCTATATCTCTTTTCAGCATCTCTCTCTCTCGCCTTCTCCAGCTTTCCGCCAACTGGGGGAAAGAAGAAAGGAAAAGAATAGAAAAACATACCTTCTCCCGCGGCAGCGGAGTCGAGATTCCCGGCAGCGAGAGTAATACACCTGCCGGCGTACTGGTGATCGGACACGTACTCAGCAGCTGGTTGAGCAGTGCTTGTGCGCCATCCCTCGCGGTCGCCGCTAGCTCCTCCTCTAATCTTTCCTTCGACGATAATTGAAGGGGGTTTGGATCGGAGGCACAGAGGAGCCCGAGGTCGAAGGTGTAGGGCGTCGGTTTGGAGACTTGTACCGGCAGCTTGCTTTTCGTTTCCGATTCCGCCATCTTGGGATTGGAAGGAAGAACGGTGGGTGCTGAAGGGCGATGAGAGGAGGGGAGGATGCGAGAGGTGCAGCGCGAGGAGGGGGAGGGAAAATAAAATAATTTTGCAGAGCTGCTTTACGCGGCCGCTTTTTAGTCCGCATTTTGCATGGAGCGGCGAGCGAAATTTATTCCAGCATCAACGACGGACAAGTTTGAGCTCGACACCTCACCCCGAGCTTGAATAGAGGCTCATTTGAGCAGCACAATGGCAAGCACGAATTGCCTCCGCTGCCTCGCGCGGCCCTCATTGTCTCCCACCAGCATCCTCAATTCCTCCTTCCTCAATGGCAGCACAAGCAGGAGTAAAATTGCTGCTTCAGCTTCAACCTCAATATTAAACCCGATTTCGAAAGGCGCAGCGCAATTCTCCACGACGAGCGTACAATCCCGCTCCCCCATCAACCGGCCTGCCACCACCTCCGGCCGCAAAAACGAGAAAGTGAAGGGCCAGAAGACGCTCCGGATCAAGAAGAAGCCGCCGCCGAAGACGGGCAAGCCGCCTGCGCCGGGGGAGAGGAAGGCGATGCGAAAGAGGATTGTGCTGAGTAATACTAATGCGCTGGAGGTGCAGGGGTTGAGGGAGTTGGATGCGGGGTTGGTGGGGGAGTGGGAGAAGGGGATTGTGCGGGAAGTGGAGGAGAATGCTGCGGATGGAGACTGGGTGTTGGAGGGGGCGATGGGGATGGTTGAGCAGGACAAGGGAGAGGGAGAGACGAATGGGGAAGAGGTTATCGGACAGGTTGTGGGCTTGATGGGGAGTACGGTTGATAGTCTCAGAGCTGTTGAGGCGTTTAAGACGGCGCAGGGATGGGGGCTTTTTCGACGGCCTGGGTTGTTGGTTAGAGAGGAGAGTGTGGCGCTTTCTAGGAAGCTGATCATGAGCGAGGAGGGGGAGATGCTGAGACTTGTGATAGATGGGGAGAGAGGGACGGGAAAGAGTTTGATTTTGTTGCATGCTATGGCTACAGCGTTCGTGAGGGGGTGGGTTGTGCTAAATATTCCTGAAGGTATTTCCGCTCCCTCCTCCAAACCAAAAAGGGTTGATTGATGCTGATAATTTGCAGCACAAGAAGTCACCAACGCAATGAACGACTACGCGCCCCTTCCAGGCACCACCCCAACCCTGTTCTCCCAGCCAACATACACGGCCAACTGGCTCTCCCAAATCAACAAAGCGAACACCACGCTCCTCCAAGACATGGAACTCAGCCTAACGCACAACTTGCCCATCCCACTACAGTCCAACATCTCGCTCTCTCGTCTATGCGAGCTCGGCGCCCGCGACCCAGACGTCGCGTGGCCTGTTTTCCAAGCCTTCTGGGCGGAACTCATGGCTAAAGGACGACCACCGGTTTTGCTGGCTTTGGATGGGCTGAATAATGTGATGCGAGAGTCAATGTATAGGGCGCCGGATACTAGTTTTGTGCATGCGCATGATTTGGCGATTGTCAACCATTTTGTGGGGTATTTGTCTGGAGAGAGGAAACTGGGTAATGGCGGCGCGGTAATTGCGGCGACGAATAGGAGTCATGCGCCCAAGTCAAAGAGTTTGGATTTGGTGTTGACGCAGCTTGAGGAGAGGCAGCTGGGGGAAGAGGAGATTACTGAGAAGGATCCGTTTGAGAAGGGGTATGATGGAAGGGTTGAGTGGGCTTTGGGTGTTAAGGATGTGGAAGGCGTGGAGGAAGCGGCGGGAGAGGAAACTGTGGACAAGGAGTTGAGTCCTGGTCCTGTGGAGGTTTTGAAGCTGAAGGGGCTGAGTAAGAAGGAGGCGAGGGGCCTAATGGAGTATTGGGCTAAGAGTGGGGTGCTGAGGAAGAGGGTTGATGAGGAGGAGGTTGCGGAGAAGTGGGCGTTGGCTGGCAATGGGGTTGTGGGTGAGATTGAGAGGGGGGCGTTGAGGATGAGGATTTGATGTGATGAGAGGAAAGGGGTGTAAATATGTACTGTATTTGTATCCGAATTGTATGTGTTGATAGAAGACATAGATGAGATTAAAGCATTCAAGAACTTTTCTAACATGGCCCGGATGGCAGACCTGAAGTTTTGGGCAGCCGAGCTATTTACGTCTAGAGGCTCTTGACTTCCCTTGTTTTATGCTTGAATTGCCTCACCTTCAGATGGCAAGAAGTATTTTGCCTGGGGCTTTCTTAGTGGTCTGATTCAACGACAGCCTCACCTTTAGTCCAGGAAAGAATGTGAGGGAAAAGCGTCAACGGAAGCCCAATCTTAAGCAGTTGATTTCCAACTTCGACCTCTTCTCCATCAATCAACAACGACCATCATAGCTTTGCAATTCAAGCTTGTACCGCAATTGAGGATTTCGAGATCTCAAACATCTTGTGAATGCTCTTTTGGTGTCGTGGTTCAGTTGAGTTTCCGAGAACCTCACCTTTTAGACGAAAAGAAGGCGTCGAATTGCAATCTCTACCTAACCTTAAGCAGTAGCTCTCTAACTTCGACCTCCCCTTCTCCGTTCATCAACAACACCCATCGAACCCCAACTTCGCAACGCAACGGTGCTGTTGAGGTGCCTGCTTCGAGATCTCAATCGATCTTGTGTATGCTCTTGGAATTCCAAGATCCCACAAGAGGATCACCAAACCACAATCTCCGCACATCTCAACCGCTCCTACTCACTTTCATCATGGCTTTTCACTCGTGGAAGGATCCTTCCATCTGGGAAGCTCGCGCCACCGCCACCTCAGCAGTAGATGGAGACACCGCAATGGCCGACAACCCAGCGAGACCTAAAACCCTCGCCGAACTCCTCAAAGCAGACCTCCGCCTCAAAGCCGACAAGAAAATGCGAAACGTGCACTACGAAGGACTCCTCGAACTCCGCGAATCCCGCGACAACCTCGACCTCGAGATCGAAGGCACGGAAGCTGAGTTGGAAGCAGCCGATGCATTTATCAGGCAAAAGCAAGTCGAAAAGCAAGTTGATGTTCATGCGTCGGGCCTTTCGAATGCGCTTTTCATGGCTTATGGCGAGTTTTGTGAGAGTCTGTACTCGCAATGGGGAGGTTTTAAGGGCATCTCGATTTTGTGTGACCAGCCACATCATGGTTCCTACTTTAGATATGACCCGGAGTTTTGCTTTTTTAAGCAGTTTGCGGAGGAGCAGGAGCAGGAGAAGATGGAGCTTAGAGCGAGATTGGAGGAGGTGGGGGAGAGGATGAGGGAGAAGGGCGAGGAAGTGGGCATTGAGGTCGAGGAAGAGGATGGTGAAGAAGCAGCCACTGATCAAGTTTCTGACATGGAAATTGCGGAAGCAGGAGAGGGTGAGGTGGGAGAGGATGAGCTGGACCTGAGGATCAAGGAGCACGTCCATTGGACGAATCGCAATTTCAGATGTGAGGCTTCTGTTTCTGTGGTTCGCGAATTCGACGGATCGGAGCGGACTGAGCAAATTGTTGAGTTCTGGTCTCTTCCTCAAATTGAGCCCCGGAGTGGTGTTGAGGCTACCTGGGGTGAGCAGTATGTAAGTTATCTACTCTCCGTCCACTTCCAAGATCGCTGCTAAATCTGCCTCAGCCTGAGCTCTACCGTCTCGCGATCCGTGCTGCGAAGAACGGATCGGAGGCTGCGATGGAAATGTTGATGAGACTTCCAAGCATGAGTGCCGAGTTCAAGGGTTGGCTCTTTGAATACGAGTTTGAGGAGTCGCTGAAGGATGAGCCGCTTCTTTCTAGGCGGTGGGTGTTCAAGGAGGCGAGGAAGATTGAGGAGCCTGGTACTGTGGTGGAGAAGAATAAGGGTTTGGTAAAGTTGATCGCTGCTTATTAAGGGGAGAATTAAGTGTGGGAGGAGAGCTCGGGGTTTTGGATTTGGATAACGGCTAAGGCAATTAAGTGGTTTACACTGCTATGAGTTCTGAGTTGCTCGCAAACAATGGTCGGGACTAGTGTGTCAAATGATTTGATTTGATTTAATTAGAGCCTACTAATTAAATCGTACTAATTATAATTAAATATGGTTAATTAAATTATTATATAATAATACACGTGTTTCTAGAGCTAAAATAAGATTGTAACTAATTATTTTTGAGGTTACTTAATACTTATTTTATTAAATTAGGCCTAGTATTACTTAGTAAGCAAGTATAAAAGTAATAACCTCTTTTTTATTTTCTAGTAATTATTTATTATTTTATAAATAATATTATTATAAAATAATAATACTCATATTAATTAATACTTTAAAATTATAAGAGTATTTATAATTAAAAGAATAAGAGAAAAGATATTAATTATTTAATTGTCTTTAAAATATATTAAAAAGATTATATATTCTTTTTTTAATAATAATTATAATTAATTAACTTTAATTATTTCTTAATATATTAATTAAAATAACTTATTACTTATTGAGATAAAAATAAGATAAGAATCTTAGAATTCGAAAATATAAGAAAAATAAAAATTTAAGCATTAGTTCTTTAATTAAGAGACTATTAATTTAATAAAGCTTTTATTAAAAAATTAAAGTTAGAGAGCAAAAAATAAACTAAATAAACTAAAAATAAATAATATAAGTAATATTAGAAATTATATGTCTTTCTTATTTAAGTTATATCCCTTATTTATTGCTTTTATAATTCAAGAGAAATAATATTAGACCTAATTTAAACATGTTATAAATAATAAAGCAGTGGTATTTTCGCATATATTCAAGACGCTAATAGCATACGAAAATTCTGGTATTGAACTATCCAATGATCACATTAAAGTCGCCCAACTGGTAAGTTCCAAGGCATTTCAAGCATGGCGCTGGAGGTAAGACTAGAACCTTCTTCCCTTGTTGAATGCTTGCCGCGACAGCAGCTAATCGGGCTTGCCAATTACCGGTAGTCATGAAAATCCCTCTTGAGTTGGGAAAGTCCAAAAATTCATCCCAGCAGTCGATAGATACCAGAGAATTTTGAAGCCAGCCTTCTTGAGGAATAGACACTGTAGAAAGTGTGCTCGATGACGCAACAGATGCACAAGTATGCGGGCATCCTTGGAGCATAGCATATCTCCTGTTCCCGCATAGATTCATAATATCAAGTTCTCCTAGAGCCTTTCCGCGGTCATCGAGAGATACGAGGGCCTCGACTAAAACAACTGGAGTGTCTCTCAGGCCCCGCCAACCTACATCAATGGGCATCTCAAAATCTGTGAAAGATAGATGCAACGAAGTTCCTATAAAAGAGTTTCGAAATTCGCCTTTGAAGGGAAAATGGTTAATCAAGCGCCACGATGCGAGACTGTATTCTTTCAATCTTGGCTTTGCTGGGGAGACTAAAAACGCCATCCCAGGACGGCCCAGGTTTCCAAGGACTCGTTTGATATGCAGCTTTGATGAGTTCACCGTTGGATCAGCCAATAACGCCGAATCAACAAAAATTGAATCTCCAGATGATAAGGCGAACACTCCTCGAAGGGATTTGGGTACGACATCGAATTGTCCAGACTCGAACATAGCTAAACAAGCAAAGCATCGCTCCAAATAAGCAACGGGGCCTGGGTTCAGAGAAGCATCAAACAACTCCGGGGGAGACCACTCCGGTAGACTTTCTGAGCCTCGGTTTGAAGTGATATTGGGGGTGGACATCCGAGCGTCCCGCGAAGTGGACTTGAATACACTTTCGCGGGAGGTGCTAAGCCCATGGGTCCATCGAAGTGTAGGTATTGTTAGGTTAAGTATTTCAAGGTTCACCGTGGCCCCGTCGAGTTTCTCGTATATCGAAGTCGCAAAGTCCAAGGCGGCAATACTGCAGTCCAATGACGGTGAGTGTAAGAAAATATTCCGTAGATACGCCATTAGATTGTCGTTGCAAAACGGCTCAGCAAGTATGGCATCAATATCATCCAATGAAGCGGTTGCGCTAGGGTTGAAAAATTCTTCCGTTTCCGTCTCTACAATTGCTGGTACACCAGGATTGGCCTGTTTGGAACTGCCCGCTTGTGTGTTTCGCTTAATTTGGACGCATTCTCGCTTGAATAAAGACACCACTGACGGATCTCCGATCAGATATTCAAAAACTATCGTCTCCGACTGCCCATTCTTATTCGATTTGCATAGCTTGAAACGCAAATTATTAATTTCTTCGAACACATCGTGAACAAGTTGGCAATCTTCTCCTTCTTTACTCACGAGGGTTTGCGCCAGACGGTTGTAGCAGCCATGACAATACGGTCGTTTTGAGCAGCCCAGTCCGTTACTAGAGCATCTGAAAGACACAACAGAACGAGAATTCTTGCAGGCGAATCCGCTAGAGTGACAGAATTCCGTGCATGGCTCGCCGTTGACATTGCAACAACAACCATCAAGTGAACCCTGCATGCAAGAACAATCTCTGCCCTCACATGCTATCTTAGGATTGTCATAGCTTGCGACTATCCAGCGGACATGACCGTCTGCCATATTCTCAGCCTCACCACGAGATCTCTTGAGAGATTTTCGTGCAACGGGAAGTGCGGATGCATATCCATAGGCAGCAACTTCGTCATTAACCTTGGGTTCGGTCAAGAATCGGATCATGAGGTCATCAGAGGAGCATTTCAGCCCTTGTGCAATATGTCGAAGGGCGGTTATTTTTTTCATTGGTCCGAGGCCGGGCAACCCTTTAGTGTCTTCTTTGAACATCCCAAGTAGAACGGAGAAATCATTCAACTGAAAATAGGGCGGCAGGTTGGTGTCGTATTCGGAAAGGAAACGCTTGCCTCTCCTGCTGCCTAGGTGGAACAATTTGGTCACTTGCTCTCGTTCCCAGCCTTCCGCTTCTTGGTATCTGTTGGCAGCTTTGGAAATCAAATCCAGCCAACGCACTGGAATCCCGGATGAGTTGACACGTTTCGTAAGACGATTGATAAATTCACATGACTGGTCGATGCCAAGATGGGTTTGGGACCACGGTCCGATAAGGATGCCGAGAATGACGACCCAGAGCTCGTCGATGGTGACCCGAGAGGTGTCGGATGCCATTCTGCGTTCTGCTATTTCGGGAGGCGCATAATATCGCATCCGTGCGAGAGGCAGGGACCAGTACACGCCCTCTCGGTCAGTGGATGACTGTTGACCAGAAATTGTGATGATGGCGCCATTCATGAGCGCATCTTTCTGGTCCACTTCCTTGGGTTGATCAACCAAGATATGCATGTTGGGGTAAAGATGCCAAGACGATATTGCGAGAAGAATGGATCCGTCCTGAACTCTCTGGGGCATCCCTTGGACAAGACGCTCCATTGCCTCCATCGCAGAGATCCACGCATTCATGACGCTTTCGTATGGCTCATTGCTGGAGTTCACCGGCATTCTGATATTGTTCATAATAAGCGTGAGTTGAGTCTGCTGCAACCGCTTGATTGAATCCGCTGTATGAAGCCAGGATCGGGCGCTGGCGTCCCATGCAGCGAGTTGCTCACGAGTGACAATTTGCTGTGCCGCCATGACCGAGGCGGTATCAGTTGCACTCCCGCTGTTGAAGCTTGACAATATTTCCTGTTTTCTTTTCTCAACCAACTCTACCCATAGCGAGATTGCCTCGTGGCTCTTCCAAATCCTCGCGAGCAGACACGATAGGAGATGGACGGCTAGGGCTCCACTCCCAGAAGTTGCCCCGGCCCAAATATTAGTTCCGTCAGCACCCATTTGAGCACCAAATATGGCCCCTTCTGGGAAACTCTGAGCATTCTCTGCCATGGTTGCGCAAATCTCAGATACTCGCTTGCCGTAGGCATCGATGAGGTGAGGAACTCGGGTGAGCTTGGAGTCAAATAATGCCCCGAGCCTGCGTGCAGTAATGTGAGACTGTCCTGATTCCGCTTCTGCTCGGCGATTAGCTGACAGAGCGGCACCCAGACCTTGGTACTCCTTTGGTGCCTCCATCTTTAGCAAGGTGAAGTCGATGTTGAAGGCAGCGGCCGCAATGGTGAGTTCATTCGGGATGGAAATAGCGACAGCGCTGATCTTTCCCATGGAAGCCATTCTGCGCAAAATGTAAGGTTGCGAATTCAGTTCATAAGCTTGAGCACTACCTGAGGTACCTTAGTTGAAAGAGGTGCCTTTAAAATCTGGGTTCAGGCAGAATATGACACAAGTGCACAACTTGACGGGTGCTGTGAGGCTTTGAGCTAGGACACCTGTGATAAATGCTGGACGTTGCGGCTACTACCTTGCGTATGGCGTGATCAGGGCGGGGGGATGCACAGTTCGATGAGTGGGTGAAAGAAGAGACGGATATAATGATGAAACGAACAATAGTCGTGGCGGAGGGGCTTGGAGCACAGAGGAACTTCGAAGCTAGTGGGGGCGAGAGGGTTTACCAGTGACCAGTCGAACGCCCACCCACTCAACCGCTCAAATCCAATTTGGTCACAACAATACTGTAATTTGGAGAAAGCAAGGTCATATCTGGGCTATTCGAAGTATTCTTCAAAATCCGTGAAGTTTTTAGAATTTTCTGAGCAATTTAAAAAGATTCAAATTTTTAATGTTCTGATAAGCGGTTGAGAGGAGAAGGATGACCCTACTCAGCGCTTACTCTACAACGAAACCACCTGTGATGACTGGCAAATCCGCATAATCTGCCGCAAATATCACATGAGAGGAAATGCGGCCAAAACGAGTAAGTAAGCTAGAGATCGGCAAAGGACTACTAAAAGTCGAGGTATTCCCTTCTCCTTTACTCTCTAGCTTAGTATTTTCAATACATGACATTCTTTGAACTTTGTGCTTTGACAATTGCATTGATCCCGTCGTCACGTGGACCTTGGTTTCTATGGTTCTCTCTTCTCATCTTCATATGATTGTATATTTGCCAATTATAAAGTTATGTGAATGAGGGGTTTGGCAAGTCAAGTGATCTGTGACTAAAGGGTTCGTTGGGGATTATGAGGCATACAAATTTGATGGGAGGAGCACGCTTAGATGCGGTACTAACTTGTGATAAGTTACTCGTTAGGTGACCTCTGCCCGAGACATGGTAGTACGAGGCTAGCCCGAGGAAGAATTCTCAGCACATGCCTGAGCTAGGCAATCTCATCCGTAATGTCGGATAGGAGGCCGACAATGTGTTCTTGTGCCTTGGAAACCAGCAATTGTCGATTCGCGAGAGGATTCGCGACTATGCAATTCGTGGTTCTCTCTGCAGGAACTTCACAACAGACACATTAAGGAGCTGCCAGCGAAGCAGTAAATTGACTATGGCGTTTGCGATATTAGGCTGTTGCATCGGATGCATCTACTGAACCACGCAGAGAGATCTCATAGAATTGTCTCACGGCATACTGCTTGATATTAGCACCACATAACACACAGTTTAATTTCTTTCACTGGTACGGGGAAACGGGGTCGATGTATTTCCAGTGTGGGAAAAAAACTACTCAAGCTACTCAAGCAACTCTAGAGTAGCCTTGAGTAGAGTAGAGTAGAGTTCATTTCCCGCGACTTTTGACAAGTGACTATTATATTAGCCCCATTTGTGGTTTATTTACTTTTTATACATAATTATTATCTTAGCCTTATTTATAGGTTATTACGTTAATATTATCTCAGACTATATGGAGGTCACGGTTAAAAGAAATAAGACACGCTAGTCACGCTATCTTTAGTAATACTAAGGGCCAAAATGCCAATGTTAATGTGAAGTTTTTAATACTTAATGCTAGTTATGAGACATAGCTTGTTTGTTGCCACAAGCGCAAAGGCCAGTTCGAGGTAGGAACCAAACCATGGATTAACAACCCAGTACATATCAAGTAGTAACATTGTCGTGTAAGTAGTTGTGATACTCTCAGCATACCGGTAACGAGGGTCTGATGGGTCTGAATGTATATATGTTGATCAGGAAATTTCCCACACAAACTGTAATTAACTGATAGAGACCTTAGCCTCACACCTAATATGCACATATCAAATACACTAAACCTCAGCTAACCAGCTCGTGGCGCGCCGGCTGTACAGCACCGTCGACCTCGACGTAGCCGTGATGCGGACTAGTCTCCAGAGGCGTGCTGTCCGCCTCCATGAAGCCTGGTTTAAACACGTAACTCAAAGGGGCGGCCGTATTTGATGCCGGAGTTGAATGCAGCTCACTAGCGCCAGCCGCCTCCGCGTATTGCATATTTCCGGGAGCCGCTAACGCCGGCGCTTGTGTGGGCGGGGTGCGCTTGTGATGTTTGACAAGGAAGAACACAACGCCTATGATCATGGCGAGCGCGGCCACGCCAACGCCAGCGCCGAGTCCGGCTTTGGCGCCCGTGCTGAGGTGGCCGCTGGCGGCTGCTGCGGAGGTGGTTGCAGTCGAAAGCTGGTATTGCAGCGCGAAGATTCGGTTTACAATCACAACAACAGTAGTCCCTGTGGCGGTGGAGTTGGGCGCAGTAAGGTCGTACACCGGAGTTGTCACACAAGGCACATTATTGCCCAGTGAGCTTGAGTACACTGACCAGCCTCTAAACAGTTAAGTTAGTTACATGTTAACAGACGCCCTTGGTTTTACTGACGAGGGACAACAGGCTGTATTTGAGATGGTCGAATACCCGCTAGGACATGCACTAAGGACAGCTCCGACGTTTATATTATAGGGGCAACAGGACGGGTTGTTCGGCGCGCAGCCGATCAGCGGGAAGGATGTTGTGGTAGCAGAGGCTATCACAGAGGTAAAGGTTGGCGACCCACAGCCAGCAGTTAGAACGTCAGATGCTAGTGCTGAGGTTGAAGAGCCAGCCGAAGCAGCTGTCGTGGTAGGGCCAGCGTCCGCTATTCCGGTATAAAAGATAGTTGTAGAGGTGCCGCACACGATGGACCCGTCAGTTAGGTCGGGTTGTCCGACTCTGCAGAATTGTCAGTAAATGTGGAATAGGATGGGGAGGGAGCACTGACGATGCGCATACAGCAGAACCTCGATATAACGATATCAATTTTAGCGCCTTTTTCTAACGATATACCGAGGTATCGTTAAATCAAGGATCACGTGCACATATAAAAAATAAGGAAGAACTAAAGATATATAAAGAACCTCTCAATCCTAACGCCTCACTACTTGTAAAGTACCTCCTGAAAGCTCTAAATAAGCCTGCTTTGCTTTTCCCACGTTCCTTTGGATAAACGTAGCTTTCAAAGCGTTAAGCTTACATATAACCTCACTTTGTCCATCCTCCTGTTACTTCTCATAAAGATTTACCAAATCAAGTGCAGCTATTACTTCAGCTAGCTTCACTTTCTTAATCTCTTTCTCCTGCTCCTCCCCCTCCCCCTCCCCCTCTATATTAGACTAAGTATCCCCTGAACCTCCACGAGCATAGCGATTTACAATTACCTCTAGCGTTACACTCTCTTCTTCCATGATTGCCTGGTTAATTAGTATAATAAATTGGCTAATGGGAAGAGGATCGTTGAATTGGGTAGTACTCTAAATGGCTAATTAAAGGGCTTTAATAGTTTCCTTGTCTTTTGCTTATTAAGTAGCCTATTCCTCGTCCAGTTTACTATAGGCATCGAGATCTTTACTAAGAAGAGGTTTTGCGATAAGACTTGATTTGTACCAGTAATTAGTAATTATAGAAGTTTTAATGTGGTTATTCCAAGTATATACTATCCAGTTAATCGCATGGAGTAGAGTAACTGTTTTATTGGGATCCTTATTCGTTTCAAATTACTTAATTATATAGCTAACCCATTACTTGCAATAATAAAGCTTAAAGGTATTAATAATGCCCTAATCTGCCAGTTACTAATATAATATCGTATTAAGAGATAGCCATTCTACTTGTATATAAGAGAGAGCTCGTTTTTCACTAATAAGATTAATGCCATATTCATATCCTGAGAAGTTGTCTATAAAAAGAAGGATATACCGGCCTTGAGCAGAATACTTATAATTAAGCTAATAGAGGTATTTTATATAGATAATACTAGTTATCTACTTGGAATTATTATATTGGTATTATATACCCAAAAGTCGACGATTAATATACTTAAAGTATTAAGGGTTCTTACTCTTCCTAATTAATTAAGGCTCTTACTTATTAGTACCTGTAGTATTAACCGTAAGAGCAAGAGTAATTCGCTCTTTGCTTCTTTTGCCCCTATTACTAGCCTTAGTTACTAGTATATAATTTGGTAATATTTTCTAGTATAAACTAGTCTTATTTATATTCAAGACATTCTCAGGAGGGTATATGGCTACCAGGTCTCGATTTTCCTGTATTTGCTTGATATTTTCAGGGCTTTTAATATCTGCCATATTGCCTTTGCTATAGTAAATATATTCCTTAATATGGAAGCGATTCTTAAAGTTAGTTAACTACCTATTAGACTATTTAGGCTCTGGTTACTCGTAATATTAGGGGAGAAGGTACCAGATTTCATATGCCTTTTACTTGAGAATATCGCCCGTAATTATTACTTTTTACTACTATATCTTCTGCTATTATTTAAAGAGTACTAATTCAAGATCAGGCTAATTAGATTGGCTCGAATATTGACCCGTAAGGCTTATATCTTTTCGTATATTAGTATTAAGGTAATTGAATTGAGTACTGAGGCTAAAGGAAACAGTGGATTAGTTGATTTTGTAGTGGAACTCGTCCTGGAATCATTTAATAAGATTAGTATATATAGCTTTAGGATGGGATTGCTTGTGCCTCCGTAGCGCTCGGCGATCAGCTTCTATTATGCCTCTTCGTCTCTTTTTGGGCTGTTCAGGGGCTAGAGAACCAGAGGTAAGATTAAGGGGCTGTGATTCGGTGAGATCGAGAGCCTGAGAGGTACCGGAGGGCCCTGGAATATTGATAAATTGATCCATTTTCAGGCTAAAGTAGGATAATATACTACCAAAAATTAAGGGTTGGGACCGAAAAACCTTACGATAATCGTAATGCCAAGGATATCGTAAGCCTAAGGCTAAAAAAGTGCAGGACCCTACGGCCGTATCGTATTACTAAGGATATCGCTATATCGGGGATCGCTATAGCGAGGTTCTGCTGTATAGATCTTGCAATCACACGTCCGGTTGAGAAGTCCGTAGCAGCGCAGCGCTCGTTGGCACAACACTCCACGTTGGTTAAGTAGCCTCCTTGATCTGGCCCGCAATAGCAGGATGTGGCCTGAATCCCCACGCCATAAGAATAAAAGCACGCTGGGTTGGCCTCTACGGCTGTGGTAACGCAACTGTTCTGTATCCTAGTCAGTACAGCCTCGTTTACAAAAATAATTTCACAAACCCAGCAACTAGGAAGGATATCGGCACCAGCTAAGCCTATCAAGCCAGCAGCCAGCAGCAAAAGATGCTGAGAATCACGCGCCATCATGTCGAGTGTCGTGAGCAATCATGAGATGGACAGACGTCGCCGGCAACTCCAGCACGAACGTCAGATTGCGTCTCGTGAACGATGTGCCGCTGAGGGAGAAGCGAAATAACTGTCTCATCGCTCCAGAAGCATTCAGGGGCTAACCGCCCAGACCAGCCACCGCCCATTTTTGCCAGATTGGGACACTAAAAGAATTGAGATTCTTTCAAAGTGCTCAAAAAAATTCTGAAGACCTCCGGGACTACTAAGGTGAAGTCACTGATCACGAATATCAACTTATTCTGTTTATTTTGGGTCGCCGGGGAATCAAGGTTTTGGGCGGTTGTGTTCCCCCCGAGATATCAATACGGGTGATTGGGCAATCGGCGCTCCCGATTGCCCAATCAAATCCCCCATTTCCTAATCGGGAGCCCGAATTATTGGTGTATTGGGGGGAACAGACAGAAAGCTACGAGAGACCATTGTCACGGGATTGTGCCGACATCCCTACCTTGTTCATCATGAGTAATCTATTACTCATCAATGATGTTTGTATCCCTTCGTTCCGGTGAGACATTGCCAGGCGCTAGCAAGGGGGGTGTGGCTGCACGCAAGCCTCACCTCGCTTTATTACGCTTCAAGAGGCTTGCGTGCAGCCACACCCCCCTTGCTAGCGCCTGGCAATGTCTCACCGGACAAAGGGATAGTCCCTTTCCCTCTACCAGCTCCGCATTTAATCATGTTCACCAGAACGGAGAGGGGCCGTCTGCAGGCCATCAATTCCACGTCGCATTGCCACAGCACTTCCGCGTGACTGAGAGCGCAGAAACCACCACAGTCGGTAAAATTTTCTGAGGACCTGAAACCATAGAAGTATCCACCCCCCAACCGCCCAAACCCCCATCCGCCCACCCCAAAAAAATCAATTTTTAATCAACCCTTTATTATAATTACAAATCCTATTAAATAATAACGTCCCATAGTATTTTCGATATCCTAACAAATTTATATTCATTTTAACCTTGTAATACGGCTAGAATCGCCCGTAAGGTAGTAAAAGGTAGGGGTTTTTTATATATACGTCCTACTAAAAATCCCCAAAAAAATTTGACCGCTACTTAAATAATGCTTATTTAACTACTATAATATACTTTACTACCACATAAATTAATTTCTAAATCTTTTGCCGCTTACCGAAATGCCTATTAAGAAAAATTACTATCCCGAATACAAGGGCAATCCCGACGAGGTCCCTAAAGTAGTAAGGCTTTAAATAGCCCACAACTATTATCTCGACTAAAATAAGAAGAAATTAATATGCCAAGTTACTAGGGAGTATAGAGTTCGTTAGGAAATACTTCGAGATTGAATTAAGGAAGCAAAACCAAAGGCAGAGGTTATAATAGTATAATAGCGGCTATTACTAATTAAGGAGGCAATAATCTAATAATATATTATGAAATTAGAAGTATAGGAATAGCTACTAATAGTTTATTAGATTCAGAAGATAGTAATTAAGTTACTAAAGGCATAAGATAAAGATTTAATTACGAACTCTCTTGAAATTAACTAGTATTAAGTGTTACGTGGCACCAGTCACGTGGTGCCACTACACGTGACTTAGCGTGTAGCCAGTGCTTTTAGCCGGGCGCACAGCCTTCAGCTCAATTCAAGCTCTTTATCACCACTGCAATATCACCTTATCGTGACATTAAGGTTTCCTTAATTACTATCCAGACCTTAAATCTCGAATTATTTCATTACTTAATAAAGACCGAGTTATTATAGAAAATCTAGAGCAGATTACAAGATATTTCGAGCTTTATTAAACGAAAAAAGCAGAGTATAATATATATAATAATAATATTTATAATATAAATAAAAAGGGGGTAATAATAGGGATTTTAACTAAAATACGAATTATTTACTCAAGGAAAACAAAGAAGCCAAAAATTATATAATAAGGTAGCCAAAAGTGGGTTTTATTAATTAAGTATATATTATTAAGTAAATAAGTTCTTAGTTCTTTTATTATTTTTAAGGCTAAGGTTTTTTATAAGAATTAGGTTAAGGCATTACTAAATAGCTATATCTGCGCCTCCGAAAAGAATTAGATAGATAATAAGCTTTATATTAAGTAATTTCAAAGGATATTTAAGCTAGAAATATTAGAAGTAAAAAAGAGAAAGTATAAAATATTTCTTTTTAATAGTTATAGTTCTTATATAACCCTAGAGATTATAAGATTCTATAAAGAGAAAAAGATTATTCTATTTTACTTTCTAGCTTACTTAATATATATTCTTTAATCTTATAATATAGGCATTTTCGGGCCTCTAGTATAGTTATACTATATATATCTTATAAATAAGACTTATTAGGGAAAAGGGTATTTAATTAATAAGATTAAGTTTCTAGAAATCCTATAGCTAGTACAAGCTAATGCCTTTAATTACTAGAATATTATATTCTTATAAAGGAAA